ATTGCAAACAGTTCTAAACCCTTGAACTTAGGAAAATACTCCCTCAGCAAGCAACTCTGTTTAGGGGAAGCCTAAAGTTGTTCTTTTTGCTTTCATTTTCAAGTGGCTGTTTGCAGGAGTGGGGAACTAAGACATTAAAAAGCTGGTTTGGGAACTGGCCAGGACCCTCAGCATTGTGTGTGTGCCTCTTTCCAACGTGGCCTGCAGAGGTCTTTCTTGGCCATACTATGAGTAGCAGAAGGAAACCAGCAAAGCCTACATCAGTTCAGGCCAAGGATGGTTATTATGGCCCAAGGTGTGCGGGAGAGAAGGTTAGAGTGAGGCTACTGGCTAAAGTCAGGTTCAGGGGTCACCAAGGGAATTCACTCAGCCCCATCTATCTCCTGTCTTCCTTTCACCTCTCACTCGAACCTTCCCTCTGCAGTCATCACAGAAAAGTGAGAAACTCCCCCGATGTATCCTTCAGCCCTGGATTGCCTTGAGCAGTGTCCAGGACAACTTTCTGGCCCTTCTGGGATATCACCTTCCCAGACGGAATCCTCCCAGACACAGGTCCAGGACATGGGATTCTGATGTAGGCTTTTTTCCATGGACCCAAGGCCCAAGGAGCTACCCTGAGGTGCCAAAGCACAGCTGCCCAAGCCCATCCTTTGACCACCTCCAAGTGCTGCTCTGATGCAGGTAGTCATTGTGGTGGGCACAGGTACAGAGGAACAGGGCAGAGAGAGAGGCTTTCCTTTTGCTGTTCTCCATGAGTGAGTGAGTGGCAGAGGCTGGCTAACAAAAAAATTCCTTCTTCTTTTTTTTAGATTTTATTTATTGGTTTGAGAAGCAGAGTTATAGACAGAGAGAGGGAGAGACAGAGAGAAAGGTCTTCCATCTGCTGGTTCAATCCCCAAATGGCTCCAACAGCTGGAGCTGGGCCAATATGAAGCCAGGAGCCAGGAGCTTCTTCTGGGTCTCCCACATGGGTGCAGGGGCCCAAACACTTGGGCCATTTTTCACTGCTTTCCCAGATCATAGCAGAGAGCTGGACTGGAAGCAGAGCACCAGGACATGAACTGGGAGCCCATGGAGGATGCCAGCGCCACAGGCAGAGGCTTAGCCTACCACACCACAGCGCCAGCCCCAAAATTCCTTCTTGCTCTAAGTATTGGATTATGCTTTCTCCCAAACAGCTTTCAGCTGCTCCATCTTCTACATTAACTCTGGCCCAGGAATTCCAACCCTGGAGTTGTGCACATAAATTCCCCAGGGCCTCAGCCTAGACCCCCCAGTACGCTGGATAATTACTTAGTGGAATAGATCAGACTCACATTAAGAATTTTGCCAATTGAAGGGCATGTGAATGATCTACCTTCATACAGTTGTATGTGCTGACTTATTAATCCATTATTTAAGTGTTCCATAATCTGAAAACTTCCTTGCTTGGTTAAGCGGTAAGACTTTCCAGTTAAAGACAATCACTATAGTCCCAACACCCACTATGTTCCTAATTAGCTCTGTAATTAAATTACCAATTAAAGAGAGCTGAAAAAAAAAACTCCTCATTGGATAAAGTAAAATGTCCTTAATTATGATGTTGTATCCTCTATGAACAGAAGTAGAAATATATATACGCACACACTCACACTCGAGAAATTAAATATATATGTACCCATCTATAAATGTCATCTTTTCATAGACTTTTCCATACCAGAGCTTCACACTCCAGCTACTTGCCAGAGTTGTGACTCTCCATGGTTTTTTTTTAAGAGGGTGGGAGGGAGAGAAAAGGGACGAAACAAGACTTTATTGGTTTAAACTTGCCTCATGAAACTAATGATATTGCTCAAATTTATAGGGCCTGATGCAAAAGGGAATTGTTGAGGCTACTTCCAAATGAGAGCAATAGAATAAAAAGGGTATAAACTGTCATGTCATTATTGGAAGGACTAGCTTCTGCTGCCTGTGAACCCTGCTTTCTCTCACACAAAAGCAGTTCGGATGGTCTATAAGATACATTTGATTTTGAGGAGTCCCTGGCTGTTGAGCTTTAATGGGTCTGGAGGCTGGACTCTGCTAAGCCTCATGTGGTGCTCGTGTTTTCCTGATGCATAAACCCAAGAGAGGGAATGAAAACAGATATGAACAGGAAGGAAAGAACTTCCCTTTTTTCTGTATTTACATTTTTCCCTGAGGTTGCAGAATCACTACTGTGTTAATTAAGTTCGCAACTACACACACTAAATCAAGAAATACCCTCCCCCCAAAAAAATAGAAACAAACCCAAGAGCAACCACCTCTTGCAGCAAAACAGAGTTGCCAGGGTTGCCCATGGCATAGAATGAAGTCATACACAGCCCCACTGTTCAGGCATTCCAAATACTGAACGTGCCAAGTAAATCACTTCTTAATTATTGGGGGTTTAATTCATTTTCTCAAATCTCCTCTGCCTTTCCCCTGCCCATAGCCCCTTCCAAGTCATTTTATGTATCTGTGCATTTCAGCTCATTCGTTTGCAAGTCTCAAAGCTAGATCTTGTGTTGTGTACTTCAATCATGGCAAAAGGAATTTAGCACAAACATTCCAAAGGAAATTCTAGTAGGGTGATGAAATTTAGTGTGGAAATTTTTATCTCAAAGGGGAGTTGGGTTTGGGAAAGTTCTTATTAAGCAGCAATTTTCCATGGACAAAAATTGAACTCTTGTCACTGCTACTGTAAGTTTAATAAAAGCCACATTTATAAGTGTCCTCTATGTGTGCATTGTATGTGTTTATAGTATGAAACAAATTCTAGAAACAGAGTCCTGAGACTTCAGGGCTCTTACTATCTTATGGTTGGTGCATAGCAGATCATAAAGTGCAAATGGACTTTCCTTCTTCCCTATTAAAAAGAGAGAGAGAGTCCAGCTACATCTTGGTGCTTTCCTGGTGAAAACTCTCAACATCTCTAAAGAAGATTTAGGACAACTGTGCATTCATAGTTTGTAGCTGAAGTGCAGTCCATGTTTCTATTGGCCAGCACTTCTCTCTCCTCAGTTCTTAAAAATGAGGGAGAATTGAGGCTTCCATTTTATAAATGAGGAACCTTAAACTATCAGCAGCTTCCATAAACAGCCACAGAAAATGCCGGGGTGTCAGGGTAAACCTAAAGATAAGAGCAGCACCAAGGTCTGGACCCCCCAAATCTGATCGTCTGGTTGCTGAGAAGTCTGCTAAAGCCATTGCTCAAATTTCTTTAGAAAGTCAGTCCTCATCACCCAGGAGAGACAGCACATCTCCCCTAGCACGTGACATTCTGTTTTTGGCTGAGAAAGCCGTACCCTACATCACACAGCTCTGCCGCAGGACCTCTCTCTACTGAATACTCTCGCTTCCCACGTGAGCTGCCATATGTCTTACCCTTCATAAGAAGTTGGGTGTGAATCCATTTTTATTTTAGCAAGGACTCTGATTCTGCTCGTCATTAATCTTCCCCCTTTGTCTCATCCCTCATCTCTTGCCAAGTGACTTCTCAAGTACTCACTGAACTTATTTTAAAGGACAAAGCATTGCTATACTACCACTGTTCACAGACGCCATAAGAAAGGAAGGAAATGGCTGGAGCACATCTTTGTGTAATGAGAAATTTATGGACAGGCTTTTACATTTTAGTAAATGCCTTTCACTATAGGGAAACTATTAAAGACACATAGTGAAAATTGCTCTAGTGGTCTCTAGGTAGACACTGGGGCGGGGATTCTCAAATGTTAGTATCCTTCCAGAATTTCAGGAGGATAGGGACTTTGTTGAAAAGACGAAATCCCAAGCCGCGTCCCCTTTCAACCCAGACAACTCCTGGAGTCCAGGAATCTCCATTTTTGAGAGTTCTCCAAGTATTTCTGATGCAGGTGGTCCCTAGACCACACCTGGAAACACCCTGACCCAGTGCATGTTTATCCACATCACAGAGATAATTTGCAGCCTGGTTTGGGAGAGCCTGGCTTCAGGATGTTGGAATGCTAAGAGGTCAGGAGGAAGGGCTGGGGTTGAGACACAGGGGCCCGAGATGTCAAAGGTCACCTGCCCACTTCTTTTCTGAGTCGATGGAATAACTTAGGTTGTCTTGCTTTCAAGACTTCCAGACTTACCCATGAGCAAAAGAAAGAATGGCCTGTGTGAATTCTTTCTGTGACTCTGCCCGAGTTCCTTAACAGTGAGAGGCCTGTGTGCTCCCGGGAGTCGCCTGCTCTTTGTGTTGCTGTGTTTTCTTCTCCCCTCCCATGTCAGTAGTCGGCCTATGGGAAGCAGTCTTCTTGTTCTGAATCACATTTTCAGTGTGTGCCATAACTAATCTGGACTTTGAAACTCAAATGGGACCGCATGACTTGCAACCTGAATGTGATCTTTTTTTTTCAATAACTGGAGCTCTTAATATCTCATTTTGCTTAATGACCTAAGACATGGATCCACAAGGATTACTGTTTCTCCCCCATTCAATCCACACACACAGAGTAGAATTCATATACCCTGACGCTCATTTTTCTCCTATAAATAATTAATTCTACATTTAAAAACACGTTAAGACGTTTTATTTCTTAATCAACTAATTTGACTGGGAAACAAAGATGCCTTTTATTCACATGTTCTTTGAGTCGTGTTAGTGTAGTAAAAGTTCCCCACAAGATTTGGCCTTCGCTCACAAGTTCTGTGGCTGCCAATTAGTTTCCAGGGTCGCTATTTTACAAAAATGCTTCTCACTTTTTCAAAATGTAATTGAATGTCTGTTCATCACAGAGTTGCTTGTGTTCAAGCCCAGGGTGTTAAACATTTTTCGGGTTGACTTGGGTCAGCTTTGAAAAATTTCAGACAGTGAAACCTGAGCAGGGGCTCCATGCTATAGTGTGTTCCTCACAGCCTGTTAAGTATTAAGTGGATATTTAAAATGGAGTTGTTATACCTCTCGACTGACTTAAAGTGAGCCGTACAGTTTACAAGACTATTAATTAAATGAGACGATTGCATGGGATGCACACGTATTTTCATCATCATTCACATTGGCCCAGCGTTGCCCTTTAATTTTCAGACTAATTAAAGTAACACATTTACTGCAGATGGCGGATGGCTGCGTTGCTGCATAGATGCTAGCTCTGATGAAAGTGGAATGGTGCATTTTTCTCTTTCAGGCCAGGAAAGGAGTGGAAGAAGAAAGAATTCGCTTGGGTGGACCTGACTCCATTCCATTCACAGCTCCCTATTTGTCCCACCCTGGATCAAGTTTTTAATTTAACAAGACTGCATTTTGGGGGAAGTTTTCAACCCCATCTGTTTGGGGCCACAATGTGCCCCACCTGGTGGTGTAACTGATTTTTGAATTAACTGAGCTTTATTTCAGTACAATAGGGCAATTGTTTCATTGCTTTTAAGCACTAGGATTCTTGGAATCTGATGGGCAAAAAAATAAATCAGACTGCAACGTGCAGCTCTCTGAGCTGCTAATTGCATCTGACCCATTATCCTCCACAGCCCTGGTTCCAACTTTGACACGGCTGACTTGGAGTTTGAAATGTCGTTGGAAGGGCCGCTTTTGCAGGTCATCATACTGCAGTAAGTTCGTCCCTGGAACACTTTCCGAGGCCTGGAAAACAGAAGAAACTGATATGAGCAATTATCCCAGGATTGTGCAGCTGCTGGCATTTGGGGCTGGCGGACACAGCCACTGGCCCCTTCTCCCTCCAGCATAACCCTGGGTGGGGAGTGGGGGCAGGGAGGGTGATGGGCAGCCCTAGAGAAGTGTCAAACCACCATGTGTTCATCGCCACCAGAGCAAGCGCCGCTGGAGGCAGCGTCCCTCTTGCCACCCACCTCCCGCCTTTAAAAGCACGTAGCATTGGCAGGTAGCAGTTTTCCTTCCTTTACGGCTTTATCCTCCTCACAGGAGCTGTGCCCGCCACCCATAAAGCCTCTGAAGAGAGCACAGGGTTTATAAAGATTTGCTTTCTTTGCAAAGTACCTCCCTGCCTGGGAGGCTCACCCAAAAGCTATAGCTGTGTTGCTCCCCGCTGGCTTCTCCCCAGGGGCCTGAGCACTGCCTTCAGCTCCACCCCCTGCAAGCACAGCGCTGTCCCTGAGGGGGCCCACCCTAGTACTGAACAGTGACTTTAAAAATAGAGCCAGCGAGAGTGCTTTTAAGGCATGGAGGTGGGTCCTGAGAAGAGAAAAGGGAGAAACCCGCGAGGTGCAGGTGAGGGAGGGACAGGGTGATTTCCAATTCAGGGAGAATCCTGGGGGCTCCCACGCAAGTGCAGCTGGGAAAAGGACCTAGATCCAAGGCCTACCTCTCTAGCTGGGAAGAAAACGGGTCTTGGAAAGGCAGGGCTGCGGGACTCCCAGGAGGCAGGGCTACCAACAGCTCAGGACCACCTATGCGGGAACGGACCCAAGTGCCAAGGGTCCCCATCACATTGGAATCCTCTGCTCCCAAGGCAGCAGTCACTCTGGGTGGGAGACACAGCAGTTCAAGCCCCGGCTTTGTTATATAACTCTTCTGCCTCAGTTTACAAAACTCTCAAATGGGACAATAACAAGTAGCAACCACAAAAAAAGCATTGCTGGATTCCACACCCAAGCCTGGTGTGTAATAAACATTTGACAAATTCCAGGTTTGATCATTAGCATGCGGTCAGTCTTACCCTCTTGTTTGCTGAAAAAAGTCCAGGCTTGCTCAAAGTCCAGGCTTCAACCAGCAATATCAGGGCAGCACACGTGGAGGGAGGCCTGGCTTCCGGCGGATTAAGTTGCTAACTCTACAAAGCCTACCCTTGGTGCAGCAGACAAGGGAGCTACACCTGGGAGAGGGCAAAGGCACTAGCATCCCACGTGCCTCATCCTATGCACCATTGATCTTCGTAGGTGCAGCCTTGCAGAGCTTACTGCCCTTTCGGGGTTTCTGCTCCATTCCGTGCCAGGAGACATCACTTGGGCATCTTGGTCATACTGGGGCAGGACCCCTGCCCCCACTCTACTTTGACCTTACCCTAAAGATGAAGTCCACCTTAATCGTGCTGTTTGCTGGTGTAATGGTTAATTTTCTGAGCCAACTTGACTGAGATAAGGAAGGCTCAGATAGCTTGTGAATCATTATTTCTGGGTGTGTCTGTGAAGAGGTCTCAGGAAGAAGTTAGCAGTTTAGTTGGTGGATTGAGTACGGCAGATGGCCCTCAGCAAGGTGGGTGAACACCATCCGACCCATCAAGGGCCTAAACAGAACAGGAAGGTGGAAGAAAGGAGAGCTCTCTCTATCTGAGCTGGGACACTCATCTTCTCCCAGAACTTTCAGAACATTCCCAGACTTCAGAACGCCTGGTTCTGGGCCCTTTGGACTCAACGTCAGCCCAGGTTCTCAGGCCCTCATGTGGACTGAGATTGACATCATTGGCATCCCTGGTTCTTCAGCTTGCACACGGCAGATCCTGGGACTCCTCGGCCTCCATCTTCACGCGAGCCGATCTCTCCAATAAGTCTCCTTCCTTACACTGACAAGTGTGTCCCATTGATTGTGTTTCACAGGAAAACCTGCCGAATACAGCTAGAGTGGACTCTGGTTCCTTTTCTCAGTGAGAACTCAGAAGACAATGTTTGTGTGAGGATTTAATTATAGCTCCCATGTGTATTTTAAAAAGGTGTAAGGCAACAACTTTGGCAGTACTGCAACAATCATCCCACCCATGTTCTCAGCTCAGAGATGTAGAAATGTACTGTTTGGGCCAGGTCTACACTGCACCTGGATCTCTATATTTGCCAGTAAACAGAAGCACATGGAGTTATTAATTAGCATTTATGAGTTCATTAGCATTCATAAGTAATGTCAACACAAGATGATGAACTAAGCGAGATTGTTTGGGAAGGGGAGATGAAGGAGAAAACTTCTCCCTCTGCCTGGATTCACATAAATGTTACTTCCCCAGCCTCGACCCCCACCCAGGAGTCAGAAGAAATAAACACAAACACACAGGCCAAGCCAGTCAATTCCCTGTACGTGAGGGTGGCCTCTCCTGAGTTTCTGGTTCCCATTACTAAGCTACTTCATATTGAGTGGATTTGAGACTTGGTTTAAAGAAAACATACAGTAGCAATACAACCATCCAGGGTGGCCGCATGTGATTCTTTTTCATGAAATTTTCAAGTTAAAAGGAAATTCAGAGATCATTATATCATCCCCCCACACTTTAGGTAAGGAAACCTAGGTCATTTAGTTAATAGCAGAACTGGACCCAGCAGCTTCACTTCTCTACCTCTTTTCCTGTGACTCAAAAGGGATAGCACAGATACATCTGATTTCATGCTAAAAAGTCCATTCTGGGTCCAGTGTTCTCATTTCATTAAATAGTCATTTTTCTCCACCAAGAAGGCACACTTGTTTTATTCTGTCTGCCAACTCTTGGGAACCAGGCATCACTCACTTTCCCTTTGAGTCGATATTTCAGCCCACCTCCACAAGAATCAGTGTCAGCTGATGTCTGTACTTGAGTCTCTCTGTGCAGCATAGCCCAGTGGATCACTGTGTGAACAACCGGGCTTATCATGGGAACAGGATGGCGATCACATGAATCCAACACACAGGAGATTGGAAGAGGCTTTAGGGAGGAAAGAAGGAAGGAGAATGGAGATCAAGTGAAGGAGGGGATAGAGATATGGCTAGAAAAATTAGAAAGACCTAGAGGACTATCACTTCACAGTTCTTCCATCCATTTAGAAATCTGGCCGTTTTATGCAGATCTTCAACATTTGAATTAAATTTAACAGTGGTTTTAATAGGTTAAAAATACCTTTTAAAGCTTTTCCCACATTTAATCTATACCAGGTGTTTTGCCAAAAAGAAACCACTCACAAAGCAAGAGTCCCACAATTTCAGTTGTAATACTTACTCTCCAAGTACTTACTTGTTTTACATAGTCTTTGCTACATTACATTTTTATCTAACTTTTAGAGGGTACCCTGAACCTCTCAATTATGATGGTTTCAAACTTCACTTTCAGTCGCGGAGCGTCATTCTGAGGTTCTGTGTGCAATATGTAGGTTGACACCTTGGCCTATGTTCAAGCAACATCCAGTATTATGTCTATGCGGACTAGATGTGAAATGAGGCAAGACCAAGTACTAACCCAGGTTACAAACTGTTCTGGTTTCAGTGTATTGTCTGGACCCCTAATTAGGAACAGCTGACCCGAGTGGGACATCCCTACTGACATAACTTTTCAATAATACCACATTTCTGCAAACAAGCACAGTTTCCACCTTAGTAGACTGGTTGCCATTCTCAAAGTCATTGATGGGTATCTTTTTTGTTTTTTTTTTTTTTTTTTTTTTTTTGACAGGCAGAGTGGACAGTGAGAGAGAGAGACAGAGAGAAAGGTCTTCCTTTGCCGTTGGTTCACCTTCCAATGGCCGCCGCAGCCGGGGCGCTGAGGCCTGCGCACTGCGCTGATCCGAAGGCAGGAGCTGGGTGCTTCTCCTGGTCTCCCATGGGGTGCAGGGCCCAAGCACTTGGGCCATCCTCCACTGCCTTCCCGGGCCACAGCAGAGAGCTGGCCCGGAAGAGGGGCAACTGGGACAGAATCCGGCACCCCGACCGGGACTAGAACCCAGTGTGCCGGCGCCGCTAGGTGGAGGATTAGCCTAGTGAGCTGCAGCACCGGCCAATGGGTATTCTAATCTATCAGTACATGTTTTGCATGGTTATTAGTGAGGGAAAAAAAATAAGAAGCTGAAAGCTATTCCTATTTCATATTTGATTGACCATTAGATTCTACCTGAACTTCAATGTTGGCTTTTAGCTTGGTCAGGATCTTGTTGCCAAAGTAGTTTGCATGTCTGCTTATCTTCTTTTTTCTTTAAGATTTATTTATTTATTTGAAAGTCAAGTTACACAGAGAGAGGAGAGGCAGAGAGAGAGAAAGAGAGAAAGGTCTTCCATCCGATGGTTCACTACCCAAATGGCTACAATGGCCGGAGCTGCGCTGATCAGAAGCCAGGAGCCAGGAGCTTCTTCCGGGCCTCCCACGTGGGTGCAGGGGACCAAGGACTTGGCCATCTTCTACTGCTTCCCCGGGCCATAGCGGAGAGCTGGACAGGAAGTGGAGCAGCCAGGTCTCGAACCGGTGCTCATATGGGATGCCAGCGCTTCAGGCCAGGGCATTAACCCACGGCGCCACAGTGCCAGCCCCAAACTTATCTTCTAATGAGTGTACTTCAAAAAAGTTCATAGGAAAATGTAATTAAGCAATAAGTTTATTTTCATGCAAAAAAAATTGAAATCCATGCATAGTTTTTTCATAATATTCATTTTCCCTGAATTTTCTTTTTTTTTTTTTTTTTTTCCCTGACAGGCAGAGTTAGACAGTGAGAGAGAGAGACAGAGAGAAAGGTCTTCCTTCCATTGGTTCACCCCCCAAATGGCCTTTATGGCCGGCGCGCTGTGCCGATCCTAAGCCAGGAGACAGGTGCTTCCTCCTGGTCTCCCATGTGGGTGCACTCGGGCCATCCTCCACTGCCATCCTAGGCCACAGCAGAGAGCTGGACTGGTAGAGGAGCAACCGGGACAGAATCTGGTGCCCCAACCGGGACTAGAACCCAGAG